CAAAGATCTTGAAAGATTGATATACTACTAGTATTCTTGTACAGTACGAAGGGGTAGGGAATAAAGTATAATATAGTATTTGATACAAAGTCTGCTTTACGTGAGCTTGGGAAAACTAGGGATCTGACATGTTTGTTTTGCATGGTTGCTATAGTAATATATTATACAAACCAATAAATGTGTTTTCAGTCATTACGCCCTCTGTCCCGTGCTGTTTCATGCACTAATTTTATTCAACAACATTCCCCTAATTCGAGTTTGGTAGAGTTTTGATATGATGCTTAGGTGGATATTCGTGATCTATGAAAAAACTTTCTATTGCAATGGTTGGCAGGTCTATATGCATATTGACGACTAAGTTTATTTCAGATGCCTATTATCATCGGCGGCAAACTTGTCTGATGTTGAGGATGTGCAGAATGTATATGCGAGAAATGTGTTTGGCCAACCGGGTAGGGTGTCAACCAGAAACAATGCAGGACAAACATAGAGCAGATACAACAATCATATACGTGTGCCTCGGTTCCCTATAATGTGAAATTATTTTTTTGAGTTTGTTCCGCCATTGGCAGAGATCCGAAATTTTAACAGTCTCTAAAAAAAGTGCCCACAAATCTGCGTGTAGACCTTAAAGGACGGTGTTCGTCACATCGCGTCCTGTTCGATATGGGACTCATAGCAACGTAGAGGGTCGGCAAGGGATATTTTCGTAAGCTGTAATCAATTGTTTTTATTTTCGTAATAATGTAATTTGAATAAATAAAAAACGTAAATTCGTAGACATGGGCAAGATGTAAAATGTAATCAGCTATTTTATTCCTCCGTAATTTGTATAAAGATCTTATTTTTTGTAAACGTATAAAGTATATTCCAAATTAAATGTCGTAATTCGTACGCAGTTCCCAATTTTGATTCTTCAACTCAAATTATCAAAAATATTATAAAAATGTAAAATGTAAATAGGAATTTGCTTTATCTGTAAAGTGTAAATTGTTTACTGTAAAAGGAATTTTCATTTTATTTCCTGTAAAAACGTAAAATGCCGTTTTTATTTCCTGTAACCTGTACCAGATATCACCCCCCCTCGTCGTATACAACTCGTGTAAAATACATTGTTTGCTTACGTGTAATTTGAACACGCGCTGCGTGAAGACGACCGCCCTTTAAAAACCCACAACTCAGATAGAGGGCGTACGTTCTTACTTGGTTGGATCGCCTTGGATCACCGCGTAAATTTGAATAAATCACTCACACTTCTCGTCTTTGAAGTTAATTCTTTTATCTATTTAACACGTTATTCGATTTTGATTTGATTTGATTGGCTTGATAATTTATTTTTGTGGTCAATAAAAATTAACATTCTTGTTATGATGTTTTACAAAGTTTTTCTGGGTAATTTATTTTAAAGACGCGACCAGTTTCATTTTTGAGACCTCTTCAGATTACCATTACTTCCTCTTTCCGCAGCTAACTAACTGACTGTGACCAGAAGATCGACACTGAGGGCGCTTTGGGCTAAAAAAAAGTTGCCAAAAAAAAAAATACCCGCCGGATAGAGATATTTTTGAAAACTTACACACCCAAATATGTTTATAAAACATCATACAAATAATATAGAAAGAAAGCCAGCAATAAGTAACAGAAATATCTTTCTAATAAAACCTCTAGCTCAAAAATCAAGGGCAAATTAAAGTGATGAAGGAAATCATTTGCACAGTTTTTCGCTCTCACAGAGATTCTAACGGTCAGCCCATTTGTCATATTACATTTTTTATAAGTTGCCCTTTTGTCTTTTTAATACTGTACTGCAATTTATTAAATTATACATCACCTTGTGTACGTTTTGTGGGATATAGGGTAAGCTGTTCATACGTACTGCGAGGAGCCCAAGTCGCCGACAGCGCCCTCTGGTGCTAACCGGAGCTCAAACCAGGCTAGTCAGACGTGTGATATTGGTCTCATGCCACTAATCAACCAATGACTGAATGATCAATTTAAATGCCTTGCAAGAACCAAAGATATTTTTTAAATATTTTTTTCTCAGGTGCTCCCTGTTTGAGGTTTTTTGTTTACTACTTAGCGGCTGTGTACCTGTGGGTTTATTCTGTGTGAATTTGGATGTTCTAATCTTGGTGTTTTTCCAGTGATTTCTCTAGGTACAATCCAAATACAGTAGGTGTGTCTTGTTTACTTGAGATTTGTAAGAGTTTGAGCTGGCCAACATGTTTCATGTTTTCATGTGGTTGATTATTGGCATGTTGATTTTCCATTTTTGAGCCATGTTTTCAACTTTGTTCATCATTTTCATATAGCAATCTCGTCATAAGTTAACATTGTCAGTCGTCTACGGAGTTTCAATTAGTGGTACAAGAGAACTGGTGATGGTTGTAGAACCATAACTGCCTCAGCTCAAAGACTGTTATGTAATATAAGGGATGTAAAGGGAAACGTATAGTAGTGTCACCTCTGTGTAATTTACAATATATCTGCATTAACCTTCACTGTTAAGGACAATGTGGAGTTCACTTAAATGACTTGTAAAAGCAAGGCTGGGCAAATTTTGCAAAAAAAAAGTAGTTAGTTAGAATTACCAGGCACGCAATCGACACATTGATATCGAAATATGGACGATAAACGGCAAATGATATTTCTAGAGATATAGTTGGAATTGAAGCAAGGAAGTGGTGGCCTATTATCCCATGAAACATACTCGCGCATATCCGTACATATCACCCTGTCTTAACGTGTGTATGTGGGGGGGGGGGGGCATGTACCCAATCATAATAACTGGAAATGGTTTCAGAACCGAAAAGTGTTTTATTACTGTAAATAATTATGAACAATAAAACCTGAAATTTAAAAAACTATAGACAATAAATAATGAAAATCTGTGATTTGCTGTACAGTTTCTAGAAAATTATTACAAGTCTCAAGAAGTATTTGGACAGCTCGCTAGCGAATTGGCAAACTGCTTGAGATGCTGAATTGTTCGAGTTACGGACATCGAGTTACGAAAATGACCACGCCCATATTTTTGAAACCACGCCCAAATTGTAACTCGATATTCAATCATTATTAACAGTTAAAAGAACTTCGAGTTACGGGCAACATACATTTTGGTTTGTGTTGCACGTCCACATTCAGTAACTTTCAAATTTTGTAACTTTAATTAGCAGTTATTCAAATTCGAGTTGGTAACTCATGTGCGTGTCTGTAATATCGCAACAATGTTACTGCTATTATTGCAACAAAACGCGCCAAAATCGAGTAATGTGAAGATTGAAAATATGTTTGCCTGATTTCACACGTTGAACTAGTGACATGGAAGACATTCGTGGGTTTTTAATTTACAATGAATTGTTATATAATAAAAGAGAGAGAATCTGAGATGATGAAAATATGGAATGACGCCGATGAGGAGGTATCTCGACTCTGGCCTCTGTAAAGTTGTGAAGATGTACAGGGACTAAGCCCAAAAGTTGAAACAAACAATCTCATTGCGTGGTAAAAAATGAAAGACAGTATCTGGATGAACAATAACTACAATCTACGTTGCTTACTGTTAATTACAATTCGAGTTAAAAAAAATAGAAAGTTAAACAAAACAAAAAATATATGTTGCCCTTTACTCGAAGTTTGGTTAACTGTTATTTAAAGTTCGAAATGTATGGTGCCCGTAACTCGAAGTTCTGTTAACTGTTAATTGAAAGCGTGGTGGTCGTATTTTACACGCGTTGTATAGTCGCTATGAGTCCCATATCGAACAGGACGCAACACGACGACTGTCACACTTGTTACAATTACCTGTTACAATTTGGACGTGGTTTCACCAAAGTGGGCGTGGTTTCAAAACATTGGGCGTGGTCATTTCTGTAACTCAATGTTTTCGTAACTCGCTGTTCGTAATCGATGTCCTGATGGCTACCTCCAAAATGACGAATGAGGTTGAATATTATTAGCGGTTGGATGTGAAAATTTATTTTCTCAACTTTTCTCTTTATTCAAACCGCGTAAAAGCTTTTTATATCACCTAAGCAATGTGGACTCGCCCCGAATAGACGCGACTACAAATCGGCGCCAGCGAGATTCGAAAGCCAAGCAGTTAGCCAATTCGCTAGCGAGTTTGCAAATTGGATGCCCCAATACTTCTGAGATTTGCTGTAACAGAACCATAACATTTACAAGATAAACGTTTTGTTTACTAGAAGGAAATGTCTTTTGGCAGCATTTCTTGTATTAATTTTCATTGCACAAAAAAGCAGCAAATACTGTTACTGAAGCACAGAATTTGCATGTTTTTTTCCCGGCCATTCACGC